CTCTAATGACTTCTTGCTGTTGTTGTTGTTGTTGTTGTTGCTGTTATTGCTGCCTCTCATACCAATCAAGCGCACATCCTTCGCTGCTTTCTATAAAATGCACAAAATATGCAAATTACAACGATTTAAATCAATTCAACACTCCGCTCGTCCCCCCCGCTCATCCACGCTCATCAACTTAATGCGCACAGTCGTCTTCTCGACGCTATCAGTTGGACCCTAGGCTCCCGGACTGGTCGTCCGACGACTGACTGCCTCTATGGGCCGTTCATGTAGCGTCGAAAACATCAGCAGCCTTCGCTTTATCAAAAGTTTACGCGTGTAAGTAAGTTTACGTGTACCGTGGCAAAGTGCATTGATAAGGGGACCGGCCAGCATCATCACTTGGACCCGGAACGTTACTCAATTTCATTGAAGCAACAACAACAACAACAAATACTGTGCACTTTCTTTGCTTACAAACCCATGAAGTAGTGGCGGCACATTTTTAAATCCTTGGTTGATTAGTCGTTCAGCCAAGGATGGGACACAAGTGGTTGTGGTTCGTTAATTCCAAAAAAAAGGGCGGGGGCGGGCGAGACAAGAAGGAACTTTATGCATCGAAGCCTACATGCCCTTAAAGTATGTATATATGTCGATTAAATTAGAAGAATTAACCTTTTTTCTCATAGTAAACATTTCTATATTTAACAAGTAGTTGAAAATATACAATTAGTACCCATCTTGATCCGAAATCCGCTAATCCCACTATCCCTAGTCAAAAATGATTAATTATATCAAAAGTATATTATTGTTATTATACTATAGTGGCTTAAAACTTGATTATCTATTTAAAAAGTATTACGATTTTGAAGAATTAGAACATTTCGAATGATTTTAAATATTTCAATTGGTTTATTATATGAATATTAAAATGATCAATTATATCAAAAGTATTATACTATAGCGACTTAAAACTAAAAAGCAATAAGATTTTAAAAAATTTGAACTTTCTTTGAACATGATCTTAAGTATTTCAAGCGGCTTATTACAATCTAGAAATGAGCTTCAAAGTATGTGTATGTTAGGAAAGGGGAAGTATGTTAGGAGTTAGTTCACTATTTCCAAGAAAATCGTATTACTTTTACATTAAAAACTAATTTGTTAATATGTGTAAAAATATATAATGAATTATTAAATAGTAGCGAGCACATCTCTTGCATAAACGAGCAGTATTATACTCGATTCTTCGATAATTTCACTTATAAAGACGCCTTCAGCAACTTTCCAAACACCCTGTTTAAAGGATTGTTTTTAAAAGAATTGACGTTGATTCCAGTTCATTTAAGGGAATGAAATTAGTGCCAGTTGCAGGTTCGAGTTGCAGTGCATTGGAAACTGCTTAGACTCACAGTTAAAGGGTATTGGGAGCACACAGACCAGTCCGGCCAATACTACAAGTATATAGTATGTGGCCGAAGCCATGCATTAAAACGTTTTAAGCCTTAACGGCCCCGTCTTTTGCGCACCATTATAGCTCATTATCGCTCAGAGCGCCTTACATTATGTTGATGAGTTTTTTGCGCCCGACCACATTCTAATAGCAGCAACTACAGCAACAATAATAGCAACAACCACACTGGGCACAAACTTTGCTAATTTACAAAAATTGTTGTTTCGTTGTTCTTGCTGTTGCTGTTGTTGTTGCGGTCCACAAGAGGCACACAAATGTGTCTGTGGCGTTCATTAAACTGGTGCCGCCTTCTACGAGAGCCCATCAGTATTGAGAATTGAGTTTCATTAATTGTTGACAATGATTACCTGAAGCTACAGCTTTGCGCACAGGGCGGCCTCAAAGGCAAAAACTGAGCAACTGAGAAACTGAGCAACTGAGCAACTGAAAAACAAAAGCGAGCCGGAGAGCCAGACAAGTCGGGCAAGTCGGGCAGGCAAGCCAGGCAGCCCGGGCGAACGCAATTTCAATTTTCAACGACAGGTGATAAATAAATCGAATCGCAACGAATTGAAATGAATCGGCGGCAGCAGCAACAACAACAGCAGCAACAACAACAATAAGAGAAGCAGCAACAGCGGCGCATCTCTCGGCAATCGATTCGTTGCGTTGCGAATGAAATTGCGCCATATTTGGGCGTTATTTGTGGCTCTCTAGATGAGTCGTCCTCCTCGCATTTGTTCCTCTTACTGTTGCTGCCTTGCTGAGGCGTTGGCCATATCTTCGACTGCTGCTGCTGCTGCTGCTGTTACTGTTGCTGCTACTTCTGCATTTAATTGCCACCACACGGTCTTTTGACGTCTACACATCAGCATGGGCATCGCAGACTGCCCATATGCTGCCCCTCATCTCCTCTCCCCTACAGTTGCTGGTGTTGTTGTCCGCATCTCCGCATTTTTAAAAGGTGTTTTGTCGCCGGCTGCGTTCGTGTTCGCGTTCGCGTTCGCGTTTCCATTCCCATTCCCAATCCCATTCCCCAACTGCGCCAATTGCGAGTGCGAATGAGTACGAGAGTGCGAATTGGCATTTTATTTTCGCATTTGGCATTTTCGGGGCGCTCGCCTCATTTAGACTGTGTTTAGTGTCCGACGCTGTTGCGCTTTTTAATTTTATTATGGTTTTTTTTTTTTTCTGTTGGCACCATCATATGATCGTGTGCTCGTACGATACTCGTACCTACATGCGAAGGAGACAATCCATCGATCGATCGTTCAATCGATCCATCGACGGCGACAACAGCAATAGCAACAACAAAATGATTTAAGATGTTCGACTGTCAGTGCTGACAACATTGACAGTAAAATTATTTCTACGCGCTGCGGAAGGTTAATTATCGGTGATTTATTTACAACGAAAGTAAGGCAGCGCTTTACAACAATTACAAGACACAATTATAGTAGCCTCACTTTTGTGTCGGACTGACTTAGACAGGGAGCGTGGCAATTCAAATTTAAGCACAATGGAAAGATTATCCTCACATCTGGGTCGATATTTAATAACGCAACTGGCAACAAAACTTTGTATATAAGCTTCAAGCTAGATACCCTACTATCTTATCGTCCACTCTAAAAAAGTCAACACTTGTGAATCACACCTTTTTGTGACTTATAAGGAAGCTTTACTATAACGATAACGAATATAACGATTGTGGGTATAAATTAAACTGAATAAATTTGGAGAGTAGTCAAGATATTACCAAATTGCTTATGAATATAAAGATGGGATTCATATCATCGCACATATCTCTCTTTTAAATGCTAGCTATTATCAGAGCTGAGAAGGCTTGGCAGCTAGGTAGAAAGAGTTGGAGTTAAGTCAACGATTGACGGACTCATTTAGTATTTATAAAGTACACGATTGCGCAAAAAGTGACATTTTAAATGAAATACTTGTATATGTATAGAAAGAAGAAGCTGTGCTGCCATTTTTTGTTGCCGCGCCCTCGACACTTTTCTCATTGGTCATGCATTAAAATTTCGCATTAAAAAATTTTTTATGTGCATAGCAAAATGTTTATGGATGCATATGATTGGCGCAAAATACGAATACGAGTACAAGTATGCCATAAAAAGTTGGGCGCAGCAAAAACTGAAAAACTGCACACACACGCACGAAATTAAATAATTTATTAAAATGTAATGCAAGCCTGATAAATAATTAAAAACACAAAGAGTCAAGAAAAACGTGGTGGTGTGACGAGGGAGAGAGCGAGAGAGAGAGAGCGAGTGAACACAATGTGCATTAATTTGCATTTTTGTTACAACAAATGCACAAACACGCCAAACCACAAACAAAATGAAAACACGGCACAATGTAAAATTATTAAATGAACATTAACAGAAGAGTGTAGGGCGGGGGCTTGGGGCTTCGATAAAACATTAAACATAAAACAAAAACGAATAGCAAAAAAGCAACAGCACATAAAATCGGTTGTCAAAGTGAATTTAAAATAATTATTGTACATTATGGCCGACGCGTATTAAATTAAATGCTGCACAATAATACAATGATAATAAAATTAATAATATGCCATGCCAAAATACATGATAATAAAAAATGAAAAGGTGTGGAAATCGCCATAACAACAACTGCAGCAACTATTGTGCATTAACAACAGCAACAACAAAGCCTGCAACAAGGCAACAACAACAACAATAAAACGCATGTGCGAGAGCCCTTCAATGCGCAAATTATGCAAAAAAGCCTCGGCTTAGGTCTGGTCTGAGGGAGAGGCGGCTCAAAAGTGCATTAAATGCATTTTTTGTGCTCTGATTATTATTTATTTATAATCATATCCATGTGCATTTGAGGCTGACCGCATTAAAGTGGAGGCCCTCCTCGCATTTTTGCGGCTTAGTTTAGCCACAAGGCTCGCGATTTCAAATGCTAATTAATATAAATGCAATTACTTTATTTTCAATTGAAAGTGCGATTTAAGGCGACTGGGGAATGGTTCAAGTGAGGGAAGCGGCAAGAAACTGAACACAATTATGGCGCTGCATTTCTTCCCTTAGAAATAATACGATATTTGGCAAAAGAGTGGAAGAGGATGTATTGATATTAAGGTTTATTGAAAACCCTTTAGTCAGATATTGAAAGCAAATCTTTACAGTAAATACAAATTACTGTGAAACAGACTATGATGGAATGGCACCTGTTTTAGTTTTCAGTTTACAAAATGAATAAAAGCCAAATAATCTTAAGACAACTCCATCCATTTATTAAGATAATGTTGAGTTCCTAAGCTTATATTAAATTTGGATGAAATATTAATACATTCAACCTTGAGCTTATATGTAAAAGACCAGAATAGATACCTGAAGACGAGCAGAGTTGTTGAAGATGTAAGACAACTTAAAAATTTAATCTGCTGGTTTAGTCTTCTAGATCGGGGGCTATTTTGTCTAATCTTCATAGAAAATAATGGTGGATGTGTATTTCCACTTCTTTATACAATTCATTTATATTAACATTTAATCATAATATCTTCTTCTTCGCTTTCTTGCAGATGGTAAGTTCTTATCATCACTCAATCCTTCAGAACTAACATACGATGGTAAGTCACATTTCACGTTAAGTCACATAACACATACTATACCAACAATACTATTACAATATACATACATGTATGTATGCAGTTAGTGCCTACCGCTAAGTTACCCGTTATCTGTTATCATTTATCAGTTATCAGTTATCAGAAGCTGCGAGCTCCCTCTCTAAGTCACTTGGCCACGCGTGCCTTCCTCGTTCCCCCATCAATCAAGTTGCAAGCAGTTGACTGCAGGACCAGCTACCGATGCAGTTGACGATCGAACCCGCACTTTGATGTGTCCATCTGTCCCTCTGTCAGTCAGTCGGTCTGTCTGTCTGGCTGTCACTAATCCGGCATCGGACGAGGCTATATAGCGCAGTGTGCATAGTGTGCCACGCCCAGTTTGCGCGCCAGTTTCCTGTCGCAAAAATGAGAAATTTCTTTTTAATTTAGACCTAAGCAGCGGACGTTGTTGCTGCGCGCGATGGTCGGTGGTGGCGTGCACACGGACAGCTGATAAAAAATCATTATAAAGTTAAATTTTAATTAAAAACTACAATCGATTAAAAGGCAGGTAGGCTGGTAGGCTGGTAGGCTGGTTGGCAGGCGGGCAGACAGACCAGGAAGGTGGCCAGGAAGGAAGGCAGGCAGGCGGGCAGGCGACTGTCTGCGGCTCATAAATTGCCGCTTGCATTGAAAAACTATCGGCCCGCTTTCAGCGTGCGTGCCACGCCCACCGGCCTGTCAGCCTCTGTTGCGTGATGAACTTGTGCTAATTTTGACGAAATCTGTGACGTGGCCCTGCACAGTGGCAGTTCTCGATTGAGATTGTGACCAGCCGATTGCCAAAGTCCCCCGTCCTGGGTCCAGTTCGGGCGTCCTAAAACTGAATGAGCCGAACGTGCAATGCAACGCCCTTAGCTTCAGTTTTATTTAGCCGTTGTTTGTATGCGCTTATATAACCTTTTTCGCTTTCATTAATGAGCAGCAACAACATAAAACATAGCCCCACATTTCTGCTTTTTTTTGTTTTTCAAGCGGCAAGCGCTTGGCACGTGAATTTTGGCTTGAAATTTGATTTATGGCTGCGCCAGGGCACACAACGGGTTCTTGTCTTTGCTAAACTTTTGGCGTTGTTGTTGCAGTTGTTGTAGTGTTGCTCCTCCAGTTCATAAAATTGTGGCACTCGGCACGGAGCAGGCTGGCATTCCGCCTCTCCCTGTTGTTCAAAGTTTTATGACGTTATGCTGCGTTAAATTGAAAAATGGTGTGTAAAAGCATTTAAATCGTTAAACATTTTTGCGATAGCTGTAAACAGTGGTCGGTCGGACCGGAGGCAACATTAGTTGGCGTGGGCAGTATGTTTAGTCTTATTCCTGAAGTTAAAAATAGAACGCTGCAAATTGGCTGAAGAGGAAGTCAACATTTTAATGAGCACGAAGAGGAAACACAATGACTTATAATTGTCATATAAAGCATGTAGATAGTCAATTGGAAGGCAAACTGAAATAGCCATTAACTGGGCTCAGAAGCCTTGTGAGCATTTCGGAATACTTGTAGATCTCCCTAACTCTCCTCAGCACTAAGCAACCAGTTTAAACCTTAACTTGAATCGATCACGATGCCACATTGTTTTTGTCGTACAGTCCTCGCTAGCCTTGGCCAACTGTTGCTGTTGCCGCCAATGGGAACGCCTGACTGCAACGAACTCAAATATCGACTGCCTATTTGCCGCATTACTTATACGCCATGTTGGCCGGCAGAGCTACCGTTATTAATCCATATTATGGAAGCTACAATGCTTTGGCTTTGGCTTTGGCTTTGGCTCTACTAACCCAGTAAGCGCGCCGACAACAACAACAGCAAGAATAATAACTACACAGACAACGCGCCAAGTTAGGCCGCCAGACAGCACAGAAAAGCCAGAAGACACACCAAAAAAACAAAAACAAAAAAATATATATGCCAAAAGTGTAATTTGTATTATTGCAACAACGTCGACATCGGAGGGGCACACGGACACGGACGGACTATACACTCAACACTTTGGTGTGACTTATGTGCACACACACCGACACACACACTCACACACAGAGAGAGAGAGAGGGAGAGAGAGGGAGAGGGAACATTCAATAGCCATGGCCATGGCCAGGCCCAAAGCCCAGGCAAAAGGCACGGCGAGCATTTAAGCACAACTTTAAATAATCGTCTGTCAGAACTGTCAAACAAGCCGGCGAGCGCTAGAATTAATGGCGCACACACAGACAGTTGTGCTTGCACGTGTATATATAGCTGTGTGTGTGTCTATGTGTGTGTGTGAGTTCATTCAAACAGCTCGACTCGGCTCGGCTCTGCTCTGCTTTGCTTGCCGCTGCAATTGTGGCCTGCGCAGGCGCAAGCGTTTGGAAGCCGCAACGAACGTTGAACCTGAACCTGCGAATATGTGGAGCAGCGAATCATGAGTGTGTGTGTGTGTGTGTGTGTTTGTGCGTGTAACAAGTTGAATTATTGTTTTTGCGCGTATTTATTTATTACACACACACACACACACACATACGTACACATACAGTGACGCAGTCGCAGTCGCAGTCGCCGGCGAGCCAGCAAGCGAGCGACCCGACCCGACCGAGTTAAAAAACAATGTCTGTTTCAGTGCTTTATCACTTTTGCCGCCAAGCGCTCCCCCTCCGCCTCCCCCGCCCACTCTTTCTTCCACCCATATATGATGCACGTGCTTGTGTGTGTGTGTCTGCATACACTCACACACTCACACTCACACACTTTACAGAAAATTAATGCGCGCGGCACGGCGGGCGAACTTTCAACTGTTGCTGCCGTTGCTGCCTCAAGATGAAAAATTATTGCGTTTAATTTATTGCATAAACAAAAGGAGCAGCAAAAAATGGTTGATATTGTCTGCAAGTGTGTGTCTGTGTCTCTGTGTGTGTGTGTGTGTGTGAGTGTGTGTGTGTTCAAGGTCATGGTTAAAGTGATTTTCAAGCAGGGCACACACACATACTCGCACATTGAAACTGAGTCAGTTTTTATGCTGCCGACTGCGCTGCTGTGGCGGCTTTCCCCGACGCAGCCGGCGCTGCCAACTGTCAAAAATGATTTAGTAGTTCAAAGCCGCGTTTTGTTGTCGTCGCCGCCGTCGACGGCGCATAATTTTGTGACAGGCAACGGCGCTGCCGGCATTGCGGGGCGGTGCGGGGCTGGGCGACAAATTGTCAACGTGAAAGTGCGAAAAATGACGCGCCTGTCAAATCCAGCAATTGCAGCGGCCATTTTGACACTTTCGGCGCCAGCCGTGGCGGCCAATTGGACAGTTCGTTGTTTGTTGTTGTTGTTGTTACTGTCAGGGAAAGGTCAGACTCGCGCTGAAAGCAAGAGTGAGCTTTTTTGACAGATTATGAACAATCAGACAGGCTTTCAACTGTCAAGTGCAGCGACCGCTACGTTTAGTAGTGTGTCAAAAAATGTGAAACATTAGTTTTATAGTTCATTGCGCTGGCGCTTTATAGATTTTTCAGTCTGTATGTATGTTTGTGTGCTTGTGCACTCAATAAAAATCCAAATGGCAATCATAAAAATCAAAAAGCCACATCAAAATCAAGCACGAAATTGGAATCAAACAAGAGAGAACGCTACAGTCGAGCAAGCCCGACAGTGTAATACCCTGTACCCAGGTAAACTTCCGTCACTGAGTTATATGCGCCCAAAGCAGCAGCAAAAAGAGGAAGAAGAAGAGCGAACTTGTTGCTGCAGTTTGGGGAGGTTGTACTGGCGAGAATTTGTTTCGCTAATAACTTTTCTTAGAATTGACCGAATTGAATAAAATTTTGAACAACAATAGACAATTATATATAAATTATGTGTGCAAAGTTTGGTTTAGGTAGCATTTGAAATGTGGACGCTATTGACGAAATTCTGTAGCGGGGGAAGGGGGGGAAAATTCCAAAAAATAAAATAAACTCGTCCTTTCTCGGACCTAGGAGAATCTGGATGCCAACTTTGGTTATTCTAGCTTTTATAGTTTCTGAGATCCTCGCGTTCATCCAGACGGACAGACGGACAGACGGACGGACGGACGGACATGTCTAGATCGATTTCTCTCGTCATGCTGATTCAGAATATATATACTTTATGGGGTCGGAGATGCTTCCTTCTGCATGTTACATACTTTGCACAAACCTAATATACCCTTTTTACCCTACGGGTACAGGGTATAAAAACAAACAAAATTAACTGGCCATAAAAAAAGAGTCACAGATTCAAGAGACGAGAACACAAATAAAAGCGACAACTGTTGATAGATGTGCACATACATATATACCTATACTGTATCGGAACTGTACACACAGAGACACACAGACAGACATAATGAGGCATTCATAAAGAAAAAGCGTATTAAATAAATACAAGTTCGCTGGGTTTTTTAGGGCTGCCATAAAACGCGAACACTTTTAATTAATCAGTGTGACCAAATTGGTTTGACCATCAAACGGCACATTAAAAGAGCAACTTAATGTTGCATAACAAGATTTCTTCTTGACAGCTAAAGAGGCGACTATCGTCTTTTTAGCGCGAAATTATTTGCATGATTACTGTAGAGTGGCATGACTGATATCTGTCTGTCTTGCGTGCCATAATTTTCCATAATCTGCCAATTGTCTTTTACAAGCGCCAATAACAAATTGCCAAGTGTCTGGCCCGGACAATCAAACAACACTAAGACCATGTTAATCTATTGAAATAAGCGCCACTATTTGTCTATCAATTTAACAACTGGCACACAAACCACACGCTGGCCATTCACTTTTAATTGATGTTGGTCTCCATATACTCGTCGAATCTGTAGTTTCACAATGTCAGTGACGACACACTCGCACATATATCCATGGCGTGTGGCGGCATCAGCACCACCACCAGCACCACCACCAGTGGCAGCAGAAAATAGGCAAATTTATTAAATACTC